CAACCCACCCCCCATCCGGACCCCTCGTCCAGCTCCCCTCCCTTTCATTCCCCGCATTCCCAAACGCTGCAGTGTTCCCCGCGTTGGGGAATCTATGTTGGTTTGCCGCCCACGGATTCACAGCCGCACCTCCAATTCCGTTGGCACCAGCGGGTTTGCTAGGACTCAGCGCCCCCGGACGGATTTTAGGAGAGAAGGAACGTCGACTGGCGCCCGGGGAGAAGGAACGACGGCCTTCTATGGGGAGAGGGGAAAGGGCTCGTGTGGTTTCGGGGGATTGGTCTTGGTAGGGTGCGAAATCCATGGTTTGATTGCGTTTGTTGGTGTTTTTGGGTTTGCTTGGATTCGTTATCCTTTTCTTATCTTTATCTTTTTTTCTTCTTTCTTCGAATTTTCAGGTTCTCAGAGGGTTTTTTGGTAAGAAAAGGGATTGGGAGACAGAACGATTATGAGGATGCAAGCTACCCGCTGTATTTTGGGGTGGGAGTTGGTTTGGGGTTGATTGCGTTGTCGTGGATTTAGTTGATCAAGCTTGTCCAGGACAGGTCCTCAAGGTTGCTTATCAGCCTCGGCCTAAAAATAAATGTATTTTCCGTACGAGTACCTGTAATGCAAGCACCAAAACCCAGGAAGCGAGAGCCTTATGAGAGAAAACCGGGTTTGGCGAGTAGTAGAGTGTAGTCAGTGCCTACGACATTTTGATAATAATAAGTAATTTCAACAGGAGGTGTATGGCTTAATCACAGCTTCACTTTTCAGAATAATGGACAAAAAGTGGATGAGCTCACATCGTCTACTTTATTGCATGAAATACCTAAGTAACTCCCATCACCAGACATCCACACCTTCCCCAATTTGCATCATCAACCTTTCCTCTGTTACTGTAGTCGTGAGTTACAAGTGCACGGATAAAAACATCCGCCCTAAGCACACCCCTCTCCCATCTGAACTCGTCAATTCCGCGCAGATAGTAAACACCAAACGCTCGAGAATTAGATATCTCTTCGAATAACTCCCAAAACTTGATGCCAGAGGACTCAAGTTTCCCAAATATGCACCAATGCAGTCGCTTCACCCCACCAATTTCCAGGCCCAGATATCCATTTCATCCAAAGAGGGACGCCTCAGTTGCCCATGATTCCTTTCTTCTCCCGCCTTATATACCATTTACCATCCCCAATAAGAAAATCATTATTCATCGAAACTCCATTGCCGCGAAACAGCCACGATCCTCAACATGTTTTAATTCTAATTGCTGGAACCTGTCGGAACTCGAATATATTAGCAATAGGTCTTTGTTGGGTCCAAGTCGAGGTTATGGCATACTTCTCGCTCTTTGCGTGGAAATAAATCCCGCTTACGGTCCCCTGAATCTGATTGAAGCAGATATAGTAAAACCCCTCAAAACTTGCTCCACTGATCGTTCGTACCCGATGATCAGGGACAAGAAAATGTTCCTTCCACCGCATGAATATATTCTCTCGCTGTGCTAGTTGTGGTATCGTGAATTGACCTTTCTTAGCAGCTTTCTGAAATGGACGAAATGCGGAGAATTTCGCCCAATGTTGTAAATCCACCTTATCGTTCGAACCCCAGTCTTGGTGTTGAGTCAAAAAGGTGTACTTCGAACCGATAATCTCCCCTTCAAAGTATGTTGTTAGTGTGGGATGGTCTTCAGTTAATCCTAATTCGGCTATCAGTATTGAGATATGGCGTATTTCTCTGAATTGTCCCACCTTGGATTCGAAGATATCCGCACAAGAATGACTCTCGCATATCTACATGTTTGATTTCTACCTGTACGTCGTAGACTTGGCGTTCTGATTGCTGGGTCCCATGAAATTTACTGCCGGCACGCAGGAACGAGGACGGAGATGATTGTGTAAGCTAAACAACTAGTTAGCCCAAGGTCCGTTAGTCCCCCCGAGACGCTATCTGCGCTTGTATACATACTCGTATGTTAGAAAAGTCGTATCCCATCGAGGGCGAGCCCAGGTCTGTACTCGTTCTTGCTGGTAACTCGGCTTCATCCTGCTTGTCGCCCTCCGCACTCATCGGCGACAGCATATCCGGTGCAGCGGCATCTTCATCGATATCCATTCGTTTGACATTGGACTGCTCTGCAATGTGGGTTTCCGTTGAACCGGTGGCGTGCGCGTCGGACGGGGGCGTGTGCTGTTGGAGTACTTCAGTCGTGGTAAGGTGTGCCTCGTCGTGGGTCCCATCCATTTCTACATTCCTCCAACTCGACCGATCGTCTTCTGGCGGACATGAGGCGTGCGACGGAGGTGTGGCCGCGATACCCTCAATATCAATCTCGTTGCTCGAAGGGGTGGGCATTGGAGGCTTTGGCTTGCGCCCGCGCCGGCCAGGCTTGATATGGCGGAAGGGAGCACTAATGATACAGGAAAGGGAAGAGAACGTAAACGTGGCAAAGCGCGAAGTAATTAGATATCGAAGAGCGCCGTCGTGCAATGCATCCTCAGGAAAAAATCGAAAAGGAGGTGCGGCGAGTGCAGCAGGGAGTTGAGTGGTGAAGATGGTACGGTGGTATGGTATGGTCGTATGGATGTTGGAAGGTATTCGTCTACGCTGCGTTGCTTGAGCGGTCGCAGGGGGCAAGTGGTGGCGTGGGGGACTACAGTAGCTTTTACTCCATACACTCCATAAGTACTAGTAGACGTTTACTTAAGCACCTATTAAAGTATTTATAGACTAGCTCATCTACCTCAATCCACGAGGCTTCGGATGAGTCCGTTTGATCATGACCACAGTGAATCGCGGATTGGTTCATCTAAGCGTTGGCATTATTCCAGTGAGCTGGAAAAGGCAAAAGTCAAAAGCGACTAGATGAGCCGTTCCGTGCTGTTGGTCGTATCTGCATGAATTATGGATTTGTACAACAGATGGATGTACGAGTCCCCACCCCCATCCAAGGACCAAGTGTCAGAAAAGAGGGACTAAACAGGTTGAGTAAGAGCAAACATGCCATTTGTTACTATTATTAGAGAGCAAAACAAACTGCTTCCTGGTTTATTAAGAAGAAGTATAACTTGGGACAACGATTTCCCTTCACAAGTTGATGTGGTAGATAATAAGACGAAATGCACCAGTATCCGACTTTAGTGAATCACTAATGTCATGAGACTGGAGGAGCTGTAGCCAGACTCCCGGTAGACAAGAAAAGAGGCAGTAAGTAACTGCATTGCACCATCTCAGTACAATAATTCTTGTTGGCTCCAGGATTTTATAACAATTTGAATCATTGATCCAGCTTTCGAAGACAACTTGTGTCTTTGACCCAAACATAGATTAGTCACCTATGTTGACCCCCAAAAAATTAGAATAATAACGGATAGTTCAGTGCCACTTTTCTTGTCTATCGGGAGCCGGAGTCGACACATTGTAAGTAAATCGAGAAAGTATTCGAATTATTTGATACTGAAGAGACATGCATGCTCCAAAATTGCCATGCGTTGGAAATTTCGGTTTCTGCAACCTCCAAATACACGAGCAAGCTTCGCATTTCCAGGCCGACATGGGTATTTCACTGTGATCCATCAAAAACATGAATAGGTAGACCGTAAATTCCGAACTTGGTTTGTCGTTTGGTATCCTTTGCATATGGCCATCGTGTAACGCCCGACTCCGGTTTTCCCTCTTCCCAGCCTTCACTTGGCTCATATAGGCTTGATCTTGAAGTGAAGAGCAATCAGCGAAAATACCAGCGCTTTGAGATCCTGAACAAGGTAGTAGAAAACACGTAGTCCCTCGGGATCTTGCGATTCGGTAACATCAACTAATGAACCAATCTTTGCCGTCTGTAAAATGCCCGTTAGCGATTGCTGGAATGAATGGCAGATAACTTATACCTCAAAGGAGATATGTTCGCCCCCCAAACGAATTTCCAGTTCTTGTCTTCCATCCTTATTCTTCTGAGGCCAGTTCTTATCGTCTTCCCTATCATATTGTAAGCCAAGTTTTCTGTGCCTCCATAGAAAACTCCAATCTACTTCATGATCTCACTCGTCTTGATGATGCGCTTGATTTCGTCCACAAGGAGAGAACTGACACACACTATTGACATTCGTTATTAGCCGTAGCCCTGACGACCTAGAAAATGGTAAACGCACTCTCTTTCCTGATGAGAGAATCGTTTCGGTAATTGGAATTGTTCGCATAACGCGCCGACGCGCTTCTGCCATCCCCTAGGACTCGGAAATCGAATTCTGTTTTGCACAATTAGAGGTTGCCCCAAAAACTTGAGGTCGCGAAGAGGCTCACCAAGAAATTCATGGCCGTGACGTCCTGAATGTCCTGAGCTTTTAATTATGTTAGCAGCTTCCCAGACACATCGAGAGGGAATACCAACTAGTATCGGATGTAGAAAGGTTCATTAGTAGCCGCCATGGTTGTCGTCAAAATGCGCAATGCAGTCTCGATGATTGCGGGAGAAGGCTGAAGCTTTTGGAGGTACACCCAGAAGTACTCGCTCGGGCGAAACCCAATTGGCGGGGCGGCTTTTGGGAGCCTGACGCCTCGGGCCACGAACGCTAAATTGAATTGAACAGCATCACAGAAAGCTCCACGTCAACCCCAAACATAAACTTCCACTTGCACTTCCCCATATTGGCATGATGAACCTCTGATGCGCCAAATCCCCTCCTCCTCTTCCGCGCGAACGTTCTTCTGCCAAATTACCCAAAAGATTCCTACGTTTCTGTGCTCATAAAACCAATCACCTAATCCTCCTCTACAACTCCAGCTCCTCGAACGTAGAGCCACGAATAAGCAGCCCACCCGATCATCCACCGCTATACTTGGAGCCTCACGAAGCGACACATAAACACAACCAACCTCTGCGGAGCTCCAGCCCATACACTCAGCCAGAATGGCGTCCTTCTTAGAGAATTCCTACAGTCTGGTGCACCAGGATAATGCGGCAGACGTACCTTCAATGTCTGAGTTGCGGACACAGTTGGAGAAGGGGACAGACGAGAGCAAGGTGGAAACCATGAAGCGGATTCTCACAATCATGCTGAATGGGGATCCAATGCCTCAATTGCTCATGCACATCATTCGATTCGTTATGCCTTCGAAACATAAGGCTTTGAAGAAACTCCTGTATTTCTATTATGAAATATGCCCCAAGCTAGATGCTAGCGGCAAGTTGAAGCAGGAAATGATTCTGGTTTGGTATTCATATCTGTAGCATATGGGAATAGAAGGAAAATTCTAACACTGTCAATAGTAACGGCATCAGAAACGATTTACAGCACCCCAACGAATACATTCGAGGGAACACATTGCGCTTTTTGTGCAAGCTTCGAGAGGCGGAGCTTATTGAACCTTGCCTTTCCACCGCCCGCTCTTGTCTTGAACATCGACACGCATACGTCCGAAAGAACGCCGTCTTTGCTGTTGCCTCCATTTTTCAACATTTCCAAAGCCTTATTCCAGACGCCCCTGAGCTGATCGCTACATTTTTGGAAACCGAAAGCGACCACACCTGCAAGCGCAATGCTTTCGCAGCATTGGTTAGCATCAGCCACGATAGTGCGTTATCATACTTGAGCAGCGTTTTCGATGGTATCCTCAATGCAGACGAGCTTTTGCAACTGGTTGAGTTGGAATTTATTCGCAAAGATGCCGTTCAGAACTCACAAAACAAAGCCCGCTATTTACGCCTCATCTTTGACCTTCTGGAAGCTGGCGCCAGTACCGTGGTTTATGAAGCAGCTTCCTCTCTAACCGCCCTGACCAGCAACCCCGTCGCAGTCAAGGCAGCCGCTTCGAAATTCATTGAGCTGAGTATCAAGGAGGCTGACAATAATGTCAAATTAATCGTATTAGACAGAGTTGATCACCTGAGGCAGAAGAATGAAGGCGTTCTCGACGATTTGACCATGGAAATTCTCAGAGTGCTTTCAAGTCCAGATATCGATGTTCGACGGAAAGCTTTGGGAATTGCTTTGGAAATGGTCTCTAGCAAGAACGTTGAGGAGGTCGTTTTATTGCTGAAGAAGGAGTTAACCAAGACCGTGGACCAAGAATATGAAAAGAATAACGAATACCGTCAATTGTTGATACACTCAATACATCAATGCGCAATCAAATTCTCAGAAGTTGCTGCCAGCGTTGTTGACTTGTTGATGGACTTCATTGCTGATTTCAACAACACTTCAGCAGTCGATGTTATTTCTTTCGTCAAGGAGGTGGTTGAGAAATTCCCCAAGCTACGTGCCGGAATTGTCGAGCGCCTTGTCTCTACCTTGAGCGAGGTGCGTGCGGGCAAAGTTTACCGAGGTGCACTTTGGATCGTAGGAGAATACTCACTGGAGGCATCTGACATCAGAGACGCGTGGAAACGTATTCGGGCCAGTTTGGGTGAAATTCCAATCTTGGCATCTGAACAACGCCTTTTGGACGAGGTTGCCGACGGACAAGAAGCACCAAAGGAGGATCAAGTTAATGGTCACTCGAAGGCAGCACCTACAGGATCACGTCGGGTTCTTGCTGATGGAACTTATGCGACGGAGAGTGCGCTTACCAGCACATCTGCTGCAGCCGCAAAATTAGAGGCTGTCAAGTCAGCCCAAAAGCCTCCTCTACGACAACTTATTCTCGATGGAGACTACTACTTGGCGTCCGTTCTGTCATCCACACTTACCAAACTTGTCATGCGACATTCGGAAATCTCCAAAGATAAAGCTCGTACCAATGCATTACGAGCTGAGGCCATGCTTATCATGATTTCCATCATCCGTGTTGGACAATCACAGTTCGTCAAAGCGCCTATTGATGAGGATTCGGTTGACAGAATCATGTCTTGCGTAAGATCGCTTGCTGAGTTTGCACAAAACAAGGAACTTGAGACCGTCTTCCTCGACGATACACGCAAAGCTTTCAGGGCTATGGTGCAAGTTGAGGAGAAGAAACGTGCCGCAAAGGAGGCTCAGGAAAAAGCCAAGACAGTTGTTCAAGTGGATGATGTTGTATCCATCCGTCAATTGGCAAAGAAGAATGCCGGCGATGGAACTGATGAGATTGAGCTTGATTTGGAGAAAGCCACCGGTGGTGATTCTGCAGTTGAAGATCTGTCTTCCAAACTCAGCCGTGTTGTTCAACTTACCGGATTTTCGGATCCAGTCTACGCGGAAGCATATGTCAAGGTTCACCAATTCGATATTGTTCTCGATGTTCTCCTCGTCAACCAGACGACTGAGACTCTTCAGAATCTGTCGGTGGAATTTGCAACACTTGGTGACCTCAAAGTGGTAGAGAGACCAACGACGCAAAATCTTGGACCACATGACTTCCAGAATGTTCAAACCACTATCAAGGTTTCATCAACTGATACTGGAGTTATCTTCGGTAACGTTGTCTACGATGGTGCAAGTTCAACCGAGAACAATGTAGTTATCCTGAATGATGTTCATGTCGATATCATGGACTATATCCAACCAGCAGTCTGCACGGAAACGCAATTCCGAACCATGTGGACTGAATTTGAGTGGGAGAATAAGGTCAACATCAATTCCAAGGCCAAGTCGTTACGAGACTTCTTGAAGCAATTGATGGCTTGCACTAACATGAGCTGTTTGACACCTGAGGCGTCTTTGAAGGGCGACTGTCAATTTTTGAGCGCCAATTTATATGCACGAAGCGTTTTTGGTAGGTTCATCTGAAATTCCAAATCTTGACAAGACTAACCAGTTTTAGGTGAGGATGCACTCGCAAACTTGAGCATCGAGAAGGAAGGAGAGGATGGACCAGTGACGGGTTTCGTACGAATCCGAAGTAGATCTCAAGGTCTGGCACTTAGCTTAGGGTCACTAAAAGGCTTGAACAAGGTTGGCGAGGCAGCTTGAGTGGGATGAGGAGATGCCAGTGAACAAGCCGATATTGTATAATCCCTCTTTCTTGGGGGGGAATTGTCGGACTCGTACACTCCTAATGAGATATGAGAGAAGAGCAGAAGGGCACTGAGCGAGGACTCGCTTCCCGCCGTGCCCCAAAGAAATATTGATTGCAAGTTTTGTCGAGTACTATAGGCTTTGTTCTTTTTTATTTTTCCCGTGCTCATAATCGTTATGAATGAAAATGGGCGAGGAAAAGGGGAAAAGAAGTTCTTTATTTTGATTTTAGAATCTCTGGTGGAGGGTGGAAGTAGAAAATGAAGCAAGTAAGATTTTTTGAATTGATCTGGCTGTTTTTCTTTGGTGCACAGTAGGAGGTTTTTGATATGGGCTGGCTGTTTAGGGGTTCTCGTACCCTGAATACACCCCAATAAAAACCAGTAAGACTTACCTCATGCTTAAAAATCAAAATCTGGTACCTGACAGTTGAGCAATTTGCCACGCCTCACTTGTACATACGCATAACATGACAGGGTCCTAGCTTATCTTATCTTATTCGTAGGTGCCGAGTGCTGTGCCCTTTTTAAATTTTGATATTGATGAGTTGGGGGGAAGGAAGGGGGTTTGGTATTTGTATATGAACTGTTTCTCGATGGGTGAGTGGTAGGTATTTGGGGAACGTGTAGAGAGTAGGTAGGTACTTGGAGGTGACCCCACCCCATGACCCCTGACTTGGTTGTTTATGAGGGATCGTGGGGTTGAGTTTGTGGATTGTGCTGGGCTGGGTGATTGCTGGTGATTGTTGCGTACCTGGTTTTTTTTTATGGCTTTATGCCCGGGACATTTGGGAATGTTTGGGGGTTCTTTTTGTATTGAATTATGGGTGGAAGTTAACAAGGGAGAGAGTAAATTCGCCCAAGTAGTGGTTTTCGAGTAGTCAGAGGTCTGGATTGGATAATGAGGGATATATCATAAGTGTCAGCCGACTATTAAATGCTAGACAATACTACTGGTGGTAGAGCTAGGTACAAAGGTCGCGGTGGACTAATTCAGACTAGTGATTGGAGTGATTGGAACGATTGCAACGCCTTTGATGCCATTCCCTGGCACGGATGATGATACCCTAAGAGGCAAGTCGGGAGGAATCAGTGCTGGGAAAGGTATTGTCATATGCGAAGACGGAAGTCCACCCGAACCATTGTCGCACTGGTAAGTTTACTCAAGTACAGTTGCGGACCACCACATGTGTTGGTACGAGTACTGGCTAAGGTTGTGTTGTGGACGTTAGTGGGAGCATTTGGGTTAAACTATTCCAAGGCTTGCTGAGCTACCCTGTGAGCTCGGCCTCGGCATCTTTTATTTTTGGGCGTCTTGCGAACGCGGGTCTTGTGCAGGTGGCTTTCTCGGTCCGGGCGGGAACTGGTTAAGAACGTCACCCGCTGAATACATTATTCCGTAGCTCTCATCCCAACCTTAGTACCTACCTACCATTACCACAACATTTAACAACACCCAAACGTCGACCATGAGCCGAGTATTGGAGTATATTGAAGAGATATGACGGCTCCAACTACGACTACTAATACGGCCGACAACCCATTTGTCGATCCGAATCCCTCTTTTGATGAACATGCTCGTGGGAACTCGTTCGCGGTCGATGCGACACTGGCCGTTGGGAAGAATGCGTCGTTGACTTTGGGGACTGATGCGCTGATTGTATTAGGTTCGTTGCGATACTTTTGGACATGGAGAATTTGGCTGATGTATGTAGATGAGAGTTACGAACAGAAGAATTGTTCCAATTGCTTTGGACTCTGGCAATCCGGTATGTTCGGAAATCATTAACTGCACCCTGGACCACAACCACAAATCACTCATACCAAACAGGCACCGCAAACACACGCGCCATTCCTTTCTACAACATCCTCTGGGCCGAATTGGTGGATTCTACACTCACTATTGAATATGCCTCGCCCATTTCCAAGAACGTCGTTAGAGCTGCGACATTGAGTTATCCCTTTGAATACCAGATGGTCGAGCGGGTAAATAAATGGATCTACAAATTACTCGACCGATCATACGGCGAATCACAGATGAAGAAGAGAGTTAAAGTCCTCGTAAATCCCCACAGCGGCAAGGGAAGCGCAGAGAAATGGTATGCGCGCGATATCCTGCCTTTACTCAAGGCTTCGCATTGCGCGATCGATATGGTGAAGACGAAGTACCAGGGCGAAGCGGTGGAGATCGCGGAGAGTCTGGATATTGAAGCGTTTGATGTGGTGGCGGCTTGTTCGGGTGATGGACTACCGCATGAGGTTTTTAATGGATTGGGGAAACGTCCGAATGCTAAGAAGGCTCTGGCGAAGATTGCAGTTGTTAATCTGCCGTGTGGGAGTGGTAATGCGATGAGTTGTAATTTGAATGGGACCGACAGTCCGAGCTTAGCGACGTTGGCCATGATCAAGGGGATTCCTACGCCGTTGGATTTGATTTCTATTACGCAGGGAGAAACGAGGACGCTTAGTTTCTTGTCACAATCTGTGGGAATCGTAGCGGAATCGGATTTAGCGACGGAGCATCTACGGTGGCTGGGATCGATGAGATTTTACTACGGATTTCTGACGCGGTTACTTGGGAAAACGGTTTATCCTTGTGATATTGCAGTCAAAGTGGCTATCGAGGATAAACCTTCGATAAGAGAGCATTATAAGAGGGAGAAGAATAATCGGGAACCGGCTAGTGAGAGGAGGGGGTACAAATACCTTATCGATGACGATGCTTCTGCTACCAGTGGTCCTGAAGACTCCTTACCACCTTTACGATATGGAACGATAAACGATAAATTACCAGATGGATGGGATCTAGTTCCCTATGACCAACTAGGAAATTTCTACTGTGGAAATGTAAGTCCTCCCCTCCGTCTCTCATCCCATGACTAACAATAATAGATGGCATACATGGCAGCCGACGCAAACTTCTTTCCCCCAGCACTACCTAGTGATGGATATATGGATCTTGTCTGTATAAACGGCAACATCAGTCGTCTTTCCAGCATCAAAATGCTTCTGTCAGTCGAGGACAACAAGTTCTTCGATATCCCCGCCGTCTCGTATCGCAAGATCCTCGGCTATAGAATTATCCCTAGGAACCAGACCGACGGGTATATTAGTATCGATGGGGAGAGAGTGCCATTCCAGCCGTTTCAAGCGGAGGTACATAAGGGATTGGGTACGGTGCTGAGTAAATCAGGACATCTTTATGAGAGTCCTGGACCGCTGTTTTGAGGATCTTTTCCCTGAGATATGAGGGGGTTGAGATGGTTGTTATGTGACCAGTGGATTTTCCTTGGATATTTTGGATCAAGTACACAGGTGGATGGAGTTTTTTTTTTTCCTTTTTGCTTTTTTGGGGACTTTTGAGTTGCAGGCATGCGTTGTAATATGGATGGACAGAGTTCTTCTTTACCTTTGATTGCCAGAAAGATACCCACAGAGATATTGGCCCTCGTCAAGGAAGGGAGGGTGGAGAAAGAGAGAAGGAAAGCAAGAAAGAATTGAGATGAGTAAGATATGGGTTTTTTTATTAGAGAAAGGTTTCTTTTCCTTTTCCTTTTTCTGTATATTTGTTCGTCATCATATCATATTACAAGAGAAACAATCGGCATATAAAATAAAGTAATTAAATCGAATGAGTTGAACTTTTGGATTTCTCGATGAGAGATTGAGCGTTTTGATTTTGAGTTTGTCCGGAACGCCTTGCTGTATGCATCGGAAACTACGATTTTCCCCCTCTGAATAGAAAAACTCGTCCCAAAAATCAAAAGTCCAAAACTCCCCCTCGTCCCTCCAACAATGAACTAATCATCAAACCCCGCCCACTCACTCCCCCCATCCTCCTTAACCACCTCCTTCTCATTCCCCGGTATCCTCTCATCCGCCAACGCATCGTCCGCCTTCCTCCTCATAATCTTCGTCGGACTCCCCTCCCTTAACTTCACCAACGGCGCCATCACCTGCTCCAGCACCATCCCCGTCACACCCACATCCTCCAACAAGCCCACCCTCTCCAGCTCATCCACCCACACATCCACCACATGAAACCTCAATCCCATGGGCACCCTCACATCCCCCACACTCAATGGAATCTCCTCATACACATCCAGCACCTCCTGCACCCTTTCCGTCTCCCACCCGCCTTCCTTTAGTACTGTGAGGCTGGAGCCGACGTACCGACGCACGAGCAGTAGGAATTTCTCCATCCGGAGCACGTCGATGTGCGTCCATTCTCGCGCCATGGTTTGCCAGAATGCCCGCAGGAAGGGGATTAATGTCTCCGCAGGGAGGACGCCTAATAGAGAGGCGAGTGAGGAGGCGAGGTTTTGTTGCGGGATTGGACGGTCCGAGAGCCAGAGGGAGTAGAAGAGGCCTTTGTGCAGTTTTAGGAGCTCAAGGGGGGGAAGAGAACGCCGGCCTGAGAGGTAGGTTTTTAGGGATTCGAGGGCTTGGTCGCGGGTTGGTCGGTCTGGGGGTGTTAGTTATGGANGGGGGAAGAGAACGCCGGCCTGAGAGGTAGGTTTTTAGGGATTCGAGGGCTTGGTCGCGGGTTGGTCGGTCTGGGGGTGTTAGTTATGGAGGGAGGGGAAGGAGGGAGGGAAGGGGAGGAGGTACCATTTGCTGCTAGTTGTTTGACGAAGGGGGTTTGTTCGATGGTGGAGGATTCCATCGTTTCTTGATCTTGGGGGGGTTTGGTGGGAGGTGAGGGTAATTGTGCAGTTTTTTGCTGTTTGTAGTTTGCGAAGAGGATGGAGGGGAATGCGATGCGATAAGATTGAGTACTCGAGTAGGTAGGAAATTATTTTTGAGAACCTTGAGTTGGGGTCTGTGCACGAGGCTGAGGGACAGCCTTGTGGGGAAGTGGCCAATTGGCTTTCCTCTTACCCCACTGCGTCGCGTGAGGTTGTTGACTTCAAAATATTGGCTGAGCTGAAGGTGTACTTTGTTCTCTCTCTTTGCGAATGATCAATTGAGCGATTGACAAGTTTTAACTTTTCTACGCATAATACGAGAGGCAGGATGATGAGGGAGGCCTATATTAGGCATTTTAAAGGCCATCCTGGGCTTCAGAATGTAAGTTGAAGCTCGTTGCAACGAGTTATGGAGGTAGATCAATGGACAGGAAACTAATTGATGGATTCAGGGCTTCGACCCAACCTGCCACTGGTGCCAAATCTCCACCTTCACCACCCACCTCACAGCACACATCTCCATCGTCAACCGAGTAGACGACATGACACTCCCCCCCGACTTCGTCTTCATCCAGCGCGCGCAGCCCGGGAAAGACATCGAGCTGCCGGACCCGGCCTTCTTCTCCGGCTGCGAGTGCAAGAAAGCGGCGACATGTAAGAGTGCGCGGTGCAGCTGTCTGCAAGATATGACGGTGTTGGATGCGAAGAATGCAGATGTGTATGTGTATCGAGCCGAAGCGGGGGGCTATGTTATGAGAGATGAGTATTTGGAGACACGAGAGCCGATTTATGAGTGTCATGAGAGTTGTAAGTGTGAGGGGGAGCCGTGTCCTAATAGGGTTGTTGGGAGGGGACGGACGGTTCCGTTGCAGATTTTTAGGACGAGTGATGGAAGGGGGTGGGGTATGTTTTCTTCCCTATTTCCTTTTTTTATTATGGTTATAGGAGGAAAATCGTGAGATTACAGTACTAATGCTCTTCCAAAAGGTGTTCGAGCCCTCCAACCCATCCGCAAAGGCCAATTCATAGACCTCTACGTCGGCGAGATCCTCACCGCAGCCGAAACCGAGATCCGACGCAAGCACTCGGCCATCACCCAAAAAAAAGACGTCTACCTCTTCGAACTGGACAAATTCAAGAGTGACGCGGATCGCGACCCATCCCTCGCCAACACCGTCTTCGTCGATGGCGAGTTCCGCTCCGGTCCGACCCGTTTCATCAACCACTCCTGCGACCCGAATCTGAGGATCTTCGCGAGGGTGGGTGATCACGCGACGAAGCGCTTTCATGACCTGGCGTTCTTCGCGATCAAGGATATTGGGTTGGAAGAGGAACTGACGTTTGATTATGTGGATGGCGAGGATGAGAAGTTGGAGGAGGAGAAGAGGAATCCGTTGCAGAAGAGGGAGATGACGAGGTGTTTGTGTAAGAGTCGGAAGTGTAGGGGGTATCTTTGGTAGGATAGGATTTTGATGGTGTGTGGTTGTGCGTGCTTTGGGGGCGTTGGATTGCCTTTTTTGTGGCGGTGATACCCGGTTGTTTTTTTGTTGCTGTGTTTTATGATGTCAAATACATTTTCTTGGAGTTTTTAGGAAGGAAAGGGGTTTAGAAGTGGATTAGACGGTTATTGTACTGTGAAATTGTTATGTTTCTTTTTTTTTAATGGTTGATTATTGTTGATGCGATGTACGATATCCTTAATGAAGGGGAGAGGGGGGGGCTTTGGAGAGTTGTGATTATAAGTTGTGATTATAAAGATGGAGTGGAATGGAGTGGGTTTGTTTGGTGGAGATAAGGGGGTACTCGTAGAAGTGGGTTTAAGAGAGAGGGACAGAATCCAGATAGACACAAGTGGATTTTAAGAAGTGAGAAGATTTTTGTTTTACGAGGCCAGTATTTTTGAATTTTCGTGCCGAAGTCAGAGAGAGACATAGTAAGATTCTATATTATAGAACGAGCTTACTGTAATTAACATAGTTCTAGTTACCTCTTTTTTTCTTTTTGTGCCCGCGCAAATAGGGATGTTGGTAGCTACTGAAGGTACAGTAGCTTGGAGATAGATATTTTTAGACGGTCGGGTCGGGTTAGGTTTGGTTGGTGGGGTTGGATGGATTGTTATTGTAAAGGGTTGTTCTGGAAGTTTAGAGGGGTGTAAGGATTTTTTTTTGTATATGATATGTGGTATATTGGGTCTAGTGGATGTTAGCTAGTAAATGACAGGGAAGAGTGATTTTGTGAATTTTGCTTTTTTATGGGATTTGTAGATATTGCTACACAGTATACAAGTGGGATTTGTATGGAGTAGTGGTATTATGCGGAGGTAGGTTGCCTAAGTAGAGTACTCGTATGATGTTTGGAAATTGTAATAGGGGTTTATCATTTGTACTAAGAGGTACGTACTTGTGTAGGTCTGGTTGATGTTAGGGGTATTTGGGATTTGGAGGTGGGCAGAGAGATTTTATTGATGAGGATGGATTAGTGGATACTGAGTGTTGTTAGGAACTTAGGATGGGTTGAGATGTTGGGTTAGAGTATCTGTGTATGTGTATGTGTATGTGTACGCGGGGGAGGGGATAGTATGTCGTACTCGTTGGATATGGATCGGTGTCTATTAATTCTTATTCTGCGGAGAAGGAGGAGAGGTAGATTGCAAGACCTCATTTACTGTATACAAAATCAAAGATCTATATCCCAGTTCCCCTAGCAAAGAAGTGAGAAATAGAGAAAGAACAAGCACTGAAATTCCACAACGCCTCGATCTACTCTTCTTTACTTACTTGAAAGACTCATTTCTCCCTCTCTCTTATATGTTATAACCCTAAGCTACTTATCCACCAAAAAAGTTGTTCAAAAAAAAACCAACAACAACGGTTGGTTTGTTTTTACCCTTTTATATCTAACTCTAATGCTCGTATATAAAGTAATTCCACTATTATCTATTATAAAATAAACCTTCTAAATATTATAATATTTAAATCAGATACCCAAACACAAACCATAAAACACATTTTTAAAACCAGACATTCAAGGTTCTTTTGACAACAGAAGGTTGTCGTCGACTACAGTAAGACGAAACCCAACAAAATAAGCGAGATTTTCGTCGTAAGCGAGCTAGGTATCCGATCGGTTGAAAAGTGCGATGTGCAACGAAATTTGGATGTTGGAAAGTAGCCAATCCCGACAGAATTCAGTGAATTAGGTTTTCTTAGTAAAGGAATTCACGCTTTTGAGGTCGTTGCTGGGAATTTGGAAGTCGTCTTCATAGTAAGACTTACCAGAGTGGAACTTGGATTCGGTGTAACGGCGAGTAGGGTATGAGAAAATCGCATGCGCTGTGTTTTTAGAGTCTTGATGATGATTGGAAAGAAGTGGAAGCGAGTCCTGATGAATGCCCTTGCATAGAATCATATTTAGCAATAAAATGTTGCTTCAACGCTTATTCTATCCCAAACCACTCAAACCATCCCATCCCAACCCAACCCCTAACCAATGTAGAGAGAAACAAAGTCAATGTTGCGATAGGAAGCATATAAAACTTCTGTTCTCGTAATAACTGCACTTGCTACAATCCATGATTACGAATTAACCAGGAAGAATCACCCCCGGCTCGCAACAACCCGCATTGGAAATTCCCTTCTTAGCACCCTTTTGTTGACAATAGTCAGTCTATTATCACAAAATCGTAATCAGTCATGTCACCAAACAAAGTGTCGATTATCTGCTCCTTGTACTGTACTTACCTCCTTCCCACCAATATGTTGAGCCTTGCTCCAGCAATATGGTGGAGTTGTAGCCACATATTCACAATCGGGACAGTGATCCCAGTGCTTCTTGCCAGTGCTTCGCTTTTTATACTTATCGCAAGCCCACCGGTTCGCGATCTCGTGGAACATTTTCTGGGGTTTGAATGAGTCTTTTGGTGCTGCTTGTTTAGGAAGGGAGGGTGTGGTAGTGGGATATCTAGGCAGGCCCTGGCAGGAAGGATTTGAAAGGGGGGGTTCTGAAACTTACAACGACATCTTTGTTTTCTATCATGCAGATGGATTTGCTATGTACCTCTGCAAGTACACTTTGATGGATGTTAGCATCTCTTTTCTTTCTTGTCTGTGGGGAGAAGTAAGATTACTGGGTTGCCAGTGCAGCGGTGAGGAGAACACTTTGGAATTGCATCTTCTATAATATATTGTTTTTAAAGTATTTGTTGCAAGTAAGAGAAGCTTTCGGTCGTAGGTAAGACAGAAGAAGAGAGAACAGTAATCTGATTCAAGTTTGAGAGATTGTGAAACTCCAGCAGACGACTTAATACATATATCTTCACAAACATCAGCTTTCAAGCCAAGCTTAGACCTGCGTAGAATCTCAAGAACATCAAAATCGAATTCTGTCTTTACATAGACCAGCCTTGTATCAGCAGAGCCCAAATTACGTAGGTTCCGAGATTCTCCTTTTCTTTCTTTTTCGTGGCTGTGTTGTCTCTTTTAGTAAGACCTTACAGGAATACTACAAGCGAGGTCAAATCCTGGAAACTTGTATACCAACCTAAGTGCAATCTAATGAACAAGGTTACTTGTGAACTGGCTGCTTGTAGCCTGGTACAGTAAGTCAACAAAACATTTCACTATCTTTCAATTAGCTTCTCTGATCCCCGGTGCGTAAGCCGCTGTTTCAAAGTTGTCGATTTTGCCTACTGACGGAATGTCTGACGTCTATCTACTGTTACCTTCCAAATATCAGGTTTAATGTAAGATTCCGGTTTCGTCTTTCATGTTCCTGATGTTCGCTGCATAGCTATGTATTGGGTTGAAAGGGTATTGGGTACTGAAGGTCATGGAGAATTGATTGCATTGTAAAGGGTAGCTATCTAAGGTGTTTATATAAAGAGTGTAAGGTTTAGGCAGACATGAAGCATTTAGGCAGCAGAACTATAAGTGGATCAAATAAGGAAGTGGAGCAAAAGAGAAAGTAGACCCAGCACAACACTATGCCTTCGAGGCTGAGGAATCACCAAAGAGACGCGTACTCGATGAGCGGAAAAATCAAGGCTCAAGTGTGAGACAATGACCAAATACGTTGTTTAACAACCAGTTATAGGTTTTATTAACGCCTAAGTATATAGTTTATGGGCGCATTGATGTTCCAAGAGTGAGCGCATTATCTGCATTTGGTCTGAAAGTGGTGGCTCTTCGAAAGATGGAATTGATTGATGTAAAAGATGTAATATAAAATATGTCCGCAAGGTGTTGCTGAAGCCTGAAAAGTCATAAGTAGCCCTTATTCACAAGTGATATTTCTGATTGCCATCACCAAATCATTTCAGCGCACTTTCTCATACAATCGCCCTTCTCTCTACTTATTTCATTTCTGCTAAATCGCACTCTTGTTCCGTTCCAGCCTCATATATCATCACTGTTCAATACTACAATTATGCTCCTCTCACCTATAATAAGCATCGCTCTCGCCTGCTGTACTCTTGTATCAGCTAGTGCTTTGATCCCCCGGGCACTTTCCGTCAACGAAGTCCTCATCTTCATCAACGGTGAACCAAAAGTAGTAAACAAAGCGACTTACTTTGCCGAACAAGATGCCCTTAACCCACCAGAAAACACCACCCTTTCAATTCGAGATACCGAAGGCCTTTCCCTCGCCAGAAGAGAAGACTGCCACAAACACGATCTCGTGTATAACCAGCCCGTTAAGAAGCTGCTAGACTGGGACGTCCAAATGTCCTCAGTCATCAAAGACGGCACCAAAGACGCAACCGTAGCTGTGACTGAAGGCTTCGAGATCGCCAATTCCGTCACATCCTCCGCGTCCCCTCCAGTCAGTTTCTTTGAAGGGATGCTTAGCACCACGTTTGGGATCGAGATTGGGAAGGATGTGGAAATTATCTTTTTCAACTGCGTATACTTTCATAGTGCCAGCAGGACATTATGGAGTGGTGGTTAGTAATCCGTGGCTTACGCGTTACGATGGTTATAGATTGAAAAGTTGTGTTGGTGAAAAGGGGGATATGACGACGTTTCGGAGTAGTTCTTATGAGAATAATATGTATAATGGTATGAAGTGGCCTAAAGGTGCGATTAGTCTTTGTGTTAGGAAGGAATTCCCTGGCAAGAGATGTAAGGGTGAAGGTTATATTAAATGAGTGGTTTTTGTAGTAGTAGTATAGATTAGGAGAAGTTGCGTAAGAATAGTAGTGTATAGGAGTTATTTCTTATATTATTGTTTCTGTTACCTTGTATTACGAGTTTAAGAAATTCGTTTAGGGAAAGTTCTTACAGGTCGCAACACTTTGCTTTTTACTAGTCTTAACATGTACTACCTAACTTTAATAAATGAAATATTAAAAACAATATATCTAGGTAACTAGCTTTAAATTTCATGGTTTTCTCCTAAGCGAAAGCTAGGTAAACAGTCTATATAAATAATATTTACGTATTGAACCTCCTATGTAGACCACGGATAGAATCATCTCCTGTATCTCTTCCATCTCCTCCACGTCCTCCATCTCCTTGATCTCCTCGATCTCCACCTCGATCTCCTCCTACTCCACCTCCATCTCCTTCCTCTCCCCAAACACGAACAAAGAAGCCCCCTTTCCTAGCGACAGCCTTGATACGTGGCAGGATTTATAGTGAATGAGGATGAAGGCTTAGTAAGCTATGGTGGGATATCCATACGGTAGGTATATCCTACCCCACTACTGCCACATGCCTTCAACACCACCACAATATTAATATCCAACACCACCATATCGTCAGCTACACTTTTGTGAGCTCTTTTGTCCCACCCACATTCCCCTAGCGATTTGGGAGGGGTTTTGGACTGAGTTCGTTTATGCCCCCGAAAGGGGCTGCGTTTTTGTACTTCCTTGCCTACCTGGCCGAAGTTATTATTGCCTATCTAGCTAAAGTTACCGCCCCACTCTATACTTTGTGTTTCACCAGATAGAGCCTTAGAATTGGGCTATTACGTGGTCGAAGTCCGAGAACTTGGCGCTTATCCTTTTTACTCTTGAGCGTTTTTCTCCTGAAGCTCTTTTGTCCTACGTACCTACATTCCCCTCGCTAGAAAGCTCGCCTGGCGGTTTGGGACGGGATTAGACCCTAGAGCTACTTTATACTTGGTGTTCTGCTAGATAGAGCCTTGGAATCGATCTATAATGCGGTCGAAGTCCGAGTACTTGGCGTTCAGTTAGTCAAACTGCCCCCGCAAGGGGTGCGTAGCCGAGGGTGCGTATTCTTCGCTTTCCACTTATATGTGGGCGAATTATAAGCACTTGAGGCTACCTAGCCAGCAATACAAAAGAAAAACCAACAATAAGCCTCATTTGATTGATGTGACGTGTACCGACTAACGATTAAACATAAAGAGATGAATAAGCAGTAACGACACGTAAGATTCGGTTAGCGTAAAGGCTATAAGAGGGTTCAAACACAAGGAGGAAATACCGTCGGATTATCCCATTCTCGTGGAAGCTCGCTTAAGTCTCCTTGCCACCAAACCTTTGAAACTCTTCTAACGAATAAGTAAATAAGTAAATAATACAAACAAGTATTAAGACTTAACCTACTCTACCTACCCACCTACCATCTTCACCGCCAAAACCTACTACCTCTACCGCGGAATAAAAGAGAAAGAATACTCCCCCCCTTTCCCTTACCAATCCATCCCCTTCCCCATCATATAATACCCGTCCCCATCCCCATCCCACAACCCCCCCTAACAAAAATCCACAGCACACCTACGACACCGCGAAGTGGCTATACCATCCACCTACACCCTCAAAAACATGACTTCCACGTAGACAAAGGAAGTTTATAGTTTTAGGTTACTAAACTTTCTTTCGCCTCCTTCCTCCTACGTACCGCCTCTCGAGATTTCTAACCGAGGAGGCAGAGTTGGCGCGACTTTTTGTTCTGTAGCAACATGTGTTTTAGGACATTTTTTTTGATTACTTTTGTCTCCAATCTTTTTGTGAGATGAGCGAGGGAAGACACGAAAAAGCTTCAATGGGAATATTGGCTCTAGTCTATAGTCTTATATGATACGGTAGTCATATTCTACTCATTCCCAGCAACAATAATTCAATGACCTACTCAAACCACAAGACTCCAGACAATAATCCCTCGAATCCTCCCTAGACTCAAAGTGTCCCTCAAAACACATTCAACCCCCACCATTCCACCTAGCACTGCAGAATCCCAACCGCTCGTTCAAAACACCCCACTCCACTTCGAAACCCCTGCTCCCACTCCCAAGCATACTTCCCCCTCTGCCCACTCTCCAGCACCCTCTTCTTAACCCACCCTTCCACGCCCCCAATCCGATCCCCACCGCATCCTGTCCCCCCAGGAATCCTGCCCTGACACCTCGCACCAAAAAACGTCATCGCATCCTCAAACCCCACCTCCCATCCCTCCCCAAAAAGATGGTGTTCAAACGCTTCCCCAGGAGTCGTTCCGTTCCAGTAATTCTCATGGTCCCCTCTCGCTTGTCCACAGGCAACCTGACGCTCAGCCTGAGCGTTGGAGATGAGGGAGTGGATGTCGGAGAAGGGGATGGTGAGGAAGGGCGGAATGAGGATGTTGGATTTTTTGTTTTGTTCGACGAAGCCCCATTCGCCGCCGTCCATCCAGTCCATTTTGAAGGTCCAGAAGTAGGACCCCGAGGATTTTCGGAGCCAGCGTGAGGATTGGGAGAGGCCGAATTGGTGGATTAGGGGGTCTTTTTCTTGGGGAGAGGCGCGGGTCCAGGTTTGGCCGTCTAGGACGTTGGACCTGGGATTGTTAGAATGAGGTGAGAGGATGGGTGAAAGGTGTAGGGAAAGGGGGTTTTACCATTCTCCGACTATGATTTGGACTTCTCCTTTCTCGCATAGTGTTCCTGGGTTTACTTCATGCAGTTCATTTGGAATGGTGGAAATGATTTGCTGGGGACTGGATGCTCGATCTTTGTCGCTGAACGTGTAGTATCGATGTGTATCAATGATAATAGGATTTCGTCTACAATTATACGGGTGTCTAGACTGTGTCCAATTTATGGCAGTTGGTAAATCCCATGCATCACTGATGATGATTGGGATACTTTCATCAACTCTTCCGATTATTTCTATAACTTCAGAGTAGAAATCGTACATTCCTTCGGCGTTGTGGACGCTTTCGTTTATGATTTGAAGACCTTCAACTCCGTGCATATCGGCGTGGATTTCGGTGGCCATGAAATGAAGACTTTGTTTTGCTAGAGTGAGGTTTTTTTTGTTGCCCCAGAGAGAAGCTTTGTGAGAGCTTGTTCCAGAGTGGTCTTCTGCATTGGCGCCGCCCGGGAGACCATGAAGGTCGAGGAGGACACCGACGCCATAGTTATGGGCTGTTGCTACAAACTCTCGAACGATTGTCTAAGGACTTTTAGCTAAAACCATAGCATTTCATCTCAGCCGAGGGATTGAAGGGTATTGTGATATTTCAAGATTGGAAGCAATAAAGTCTGGGAAGCGAAAGGAAAGCGGGTCACGTTCTCAACTTGTAAAAATGTATTCCATAGGTATTCAATATCAATGTAAGAAACAAATAGACTTACCCAAGCGTTACAGTAAACATCTTCCAATCCTGCCCACTCTGTCCCTTTAAGTCTCGAAGCTTGTTCACTCCCACCCATAATCCACCATCCAACAGGCAATCTAATACTCGTACCCTTTGCCGCATTCCTAAACCAATCCCAATCTTGCTGGCTTACAGCACTCCTCCAATGGTTTTCCCAAATGCATCTCGTCTCATCAATACCCTTCTTTTTCACACTCGCTTTCACGGCATCTAACTCAGATTCTCCCTTGGCGGATTCGGGAAACATGGAACCGGATAACCATTTTTCGAGAACGAAGATGGACCCCAGATTGGCACCGTGATGGTAGCGGTATCTGAAGATGTCATCGGAAGTGGGAGGCTGGATGGTCGATGGTTGGTTTTGATGGACTGGGGTTTTGCTTGGAGATGCTTGGCCGAGAAATTCCTGGGAGAGAGCATCTGCTTTTGCCTCGAGTTTGTTGAAGAATTTCTTCATGATTGCGGGATTCTAAAGAGAGTGAGGAACAAGAGGGAGGGAGTAGTGAGTTTGTGAAATGAATTACTTGGGTATGGGATAGAAGGAAAGAATAGTGACAGGCTGCTCTTTCCAACTTTGGAGATGAGTGCAGGCGCAGGTGCAATCAAGTAATTGTGGGCGCAAATATGCATGATGTCGTCAACTTACAAATGCCTTGTTGGAGTATAAGAGCGGGTGTCTGCCACTTTACGGACGACATTTACACACCATGAAATGAAGCAGACATATGAACAGCACATTCGCCAGACATCGTCTTGGAAAAAGGGGTAGGGTCGCGGACACAACACGTGACCGCGGATCATCATTGATCCCCCAGACCTCAAGCTTTCTCTCCCTGCTTTTTCTCTCGCCCATGTGTCTTGGATTCGGCATCTGATTGGCTGACCCCACCACCGCTCATGGAGCCCAATCAAGCCGACCAGAGGGGGCACGCGACAGTTCGATACGGATTTCAAGCGTGTTTGAGAATGCTATTCAGCGATCTGGATGCTCGAGACTCGCTCTGTCTTCTTGATCACGCAAGACCTCGATTGGGCCAAGAAGTCCAATGGCGTCGAAACGTTGTCGAGCTTGCAGGTGCAGGTGGGGTATGGGTATGAGTACTAAGTCTATTACCACCATTGCCTCCAAGGGAAAGTCTTCCACCGCATGTCCTGACTCTGTCTCTTGCCATATCGTGAGCTTTTTGGCCTCTTCTCTCGATTCTCTTGAGTTGTTTCTACAACTCTGCCATTGTCCTTCTTACGGGCTTCTTACTCGCTTCATCTCGTCCTCTTTTGTTTACTTGGACTTCCTCGACCGCCACTCTGTAACCAGTGCTACGCGAGAGCATTATTGACCGGACACGAGACCGGAAAACTCAAAAAGCACTACGAGGGTCACGATGCCTCGTCCCCAACAACCTCCAACGCCAGCATCATCTACGGAGATCAAGAGCAAAGATGGCTCCCAATTCTCAGGTGTTCAGATGTCCTTTGAACTTCCCCCACCGGCCGTAACAGCAACAGAAACTCGGGCATTCTCGAATACTTCTTCCATTTCCTCTCACCAAGCCAATTCACATTCCCCTACATCGCCTGCCATACCCGTCAGTGAAGTTGTCAAGACACGGAGAAGACCTTCAATTGCTCAAAAATCAAACCAGGATACCTTTGCGCTGCCCCCACCACCTACCAGATCGCGAAAGATTATACAGATGAAACCAAAGGGCCCAGTAGAGGATGTCACGGAAGTTCCTAGCGAAGCACCAAAGAATGTTTCTACCAAGGCATCAGCTACTCCCAAGAAGAAACAACCATCTTCAACTAGCGTTGCGGGGCGCAAGATAGCTCGGAAAACAGCACATAGTTTGATTGAACGAAGAAGGCGATCAAAAATGAACGAGGAGTTTGGCGTATTGAAAGACATGATCCCAGCATGTACAGGAGAAATGCACAAGTTGGCAATTCTACAGGTAACTTCCAAAATAATGCCCACTCTCAGCCTCCTCGCTAATTGAATCAAGGCGTCAATCGACTATGTTCGCTACCTAGAAGACTGCGTCACAAAACTCAAAGCCGAAAACACACGAACAAACCCCTCATCCACCGAACCTCTCATCCCACCCCCACCAGCACGTAAAGAATCCCAATCCACACCCCACCCCTACACGCCCCAAGAAGAAGATAAAGACACCGAAATGGGCGACTCCTCAGAAGGCATCTCTCCAACCTACACCACACCCCTTCCCTCCATGCGCCCCTCCGCATCTCCCGCTCTGATACCCCAGGATTCCCGTCGTCGTCAAGACTCCTATTCTTCCGTCTCAAAGGACCACCGTCAGTACAGTTTCAGCGGCTCAGCGACTACCTCACCCGCTCCAGGTCCTGCGGTTTATGATTACGCGAGGAGTATGGCGCCGCAACGGGATTTGGATCAGGAGGCTACGGCTGCGCTTTTGATGTTGAATACAGAGAGGAGGGGGACGCTTAGTGGGAGAGGGGGGATGAGTGTTAGGGATCTTTTGAGTGAGTGAGTGGATTTTGTGGCATGGGAGGCGTGGGATATGATACCCTGGGTTTGTGGACTACTTTTAGCTAGAGGTAGGAATGTGTAAAGTGCAGTCAGTGTAGCAATAAAAATCCGAATTTTTTATTTTTTATTTTAGATTGAGTTTTCATTTGTAGATTACTTGCAGCTAATCTTGGTGAAGTTTGGTAGCAGAAGAAATGTGTGGATAATGTGTCATATTGTGCTCCACCGAGTTACCCAGTCTCTACGGGGACGGAAAAACTTCCGAATTTGTACTGAGGAGACACTGTTTTATACAATAAATTTCTTACTCTATATAACTCGGAAAAATATATAAAAAATACTAGCAGTCTCCGAGTTAACCTATTTATATTTCTACTAATATTTGTATATGTTTTTAGTTGCGTTGTTGTGATGTAGTGTACAAAAGGTACGACAATAAGTGTGATTTGGGAGGAACAAGAAAGGAAGTTTTTTCCGTCCCCATAGAGCCAGTCTCGAAGGACACATGCCGCTGACTTATTAGACTATAAAGTACACTGTAGGTCCAGGTTTGAACCTCCCACTGTAGCTTGTGAGTTGCGCCCGCTTGCTACCTATGGACACGAGGGATTGCGTGATTCTCGTCTAATCTTTTGATGGAAAACTTTGTTGCTCATTTTCTGAAGACTTTTTTTTCGTTTTCTTTTTTTTTTCTGTATGATCTATTTATACAAACATCTCAAAACCAGTTTGTCATTCCGGGTTTTTCATTTGTAAAAATAGATTTCTTGGATGTTACCTTTTGTGAAGATCTTTTATGGAGTTACAGTATTGGTACTGTGGGTCTAATGTCGTAATCTGCGATTTGTAGGATCTTAGAGTAGGGGGTTGGGAGGGTTGGAGTCTGGAGTCTGGAGTCTGGAGGGGAGAATGGTATTGTATGGGCTAATTCTTAATGGATTTGGAGAGTTTTGAGGGGGTGAAGGGATATAAGAGATGAAGGGATGAAGGGATGAAGGATGTTAGTAAAAGAGGCGAGCGTTACTCTATACAAACCCTCGAGTTTTAAAAAAAAACTTTTCCCAAAGACCTCACACAACTAGATCCATTTTACGAATAGTTTAGGATAATGATTACTTTGCAATTTATATTGTACTACTGTAGGTGAAATGGGACAATTGATTTACCCTTTTTGTGCTAGAGTTTTGGTGTAATGACTTTTGATGGCGTGTATAGAGTAATACTCGCCTCTCTTATGTTTACTCTTGGAATTGAGGACTGGGGAGGGGAGAGGAGAGGAGAGGAGAGGAGAGGGTATGGGATATGGGATATGGGATGTGGGGAGAGGGATGGGGATAGTAGGCTTGTGGAGGAGTTTTGGTATATATATTTGTGTTTGTGTTTTTGTTTTTGTGCTGTACTCGTGGAGTGAGTGGAGTAGAGAGAGGTGAGAGGTGAGAGGTGAGAGGTGAGACGTGAGACGTAGGTGATGGGGCATTTCAGAGGAGATATGAAGGAAGGATTGCGTGTGTGATGGATGGGTAGCTTGGGTGTGAGGTTTGTGGTGAGGAAATGGAGTTATGGTTTCACTTTGGGTGATTAGGCTATCCAGAGCAAAGAGGTGGTTTATGACGGTTGGTTTTTTTTTTGTTTCTTCGTAGGTTGTTTGGGTGGAGATATAGGCATTAGGTATCTATTAGGGTATTTCTTTTGGCGTTTCTAAATTACAAAGAAGCTGGGGGGTTTCATCAGGAGATAGTTGTTTGAGAACTTTTCAGAAATAAGATTAAAATAAATAAAAATACAAATAAGAGTACATATCCCAAAGGAACCCTTGAATCCGTTCCCTCATAACAAAAACTCCCGCTACATATCCCCGCCTCGCTAACATTCCTCATACTTCTATTCTCTCTCTTCTATTCATATTTCCCGCCACTCTTTGCGGTGCTGGTACTTACACTCGTGCTCGTCCCCACAATCTTCGTCGTTCCAGTCCCAATCCTGGTAGTCATCGCACCCGTCTTAGATGATGTACATGTGCTATTCCCCGCACTCCCAGATGGCACGGGTAGGTTTGCGTGGCCAGCGTTGGAGCTCGCTGCGTGGGTAGGGATGGTGGCAGGGTGTTTCGTTCCGTTCTCGCTCTGGTGGATGGTGGGGAGTTGGTTAGGAAGACTGGTGCTTAGCGACAACGCGGATGTGGATGTGGTTTGGCTTGTCACGTTCCCGGCTACGCCCGTGGGGTGGGTGAAGGGTGGGAGTGTCACGGGATTCTTTGATCGCGAGGTCGTTTTGCTGGTCTGGTTGGTGCTGGGTTTGGAGGTGAAGATTGTGCTGAATGATGAGGTGGTGGGGTGTGCTTTGCCGCTTGTGGTGATGTCTAAGTCTTTGGATGAGGCTTTTGATGTGCCGGACGCTGGCTTGGAGGTTGGGCTGCCGGGTTTGACTGTGCTTGTTATATCGTCATCGGATGATTTGGTGCTTTTGGTTGATTGTGCCTTGGAGGTGGGCTTGCTTTCGTCGTCTTTTGAAGTAACAGAGGTTGAATTGGGCTTCCCTGAGGTTGGAGTGCTCTCGCCGTCTTTGGATGAAACTTTGGTTGAAGCAGCGGTTGGCTTCGAGCTGTTGGGCTTGACTGTTGGGTGGGTGTCATCATCCGAGGCTTTGGTACTTTTGGTAAGTGCTGGCTTAGAAGTAGGCTTCTTGCCATCGTCAGTTGTCTTTGTGGTCTTCGGGTCTTGTCCTTTTGTCGGGTTAGGCTTGAGAGTCTTTGCAGGTGCCTCTTCTGTTGGTCTAGTCTTCGGTGGCTTCTGAGTCTTAGGCAGTGGCACCTTGGTATTTGGTGCCTTTGGAGGCAGAGGTGGCTGAGAGACTCCCGATTGCGCATTATCTGGCCCGAATGGGAAGCATTTGTTGAACAACGGCCATGACTTTTCGAAAAGAGATTTCTCCCACAAAGGATTTGCCTTGTTTCCAGCGGTAGCGACTTGAACAGTGAGATCAACACCAGCTTTTGCGTCGACAGTGACACCAATTGTTTTCTTCGTGTTGCAAACTCCACTGGAGATGGCCATTGCAGAGAAGTCGCCTTGGATGTATGGCATTTTGAGATCCAAACCCATCTCGAGACCTTTGCCGAAGGCTTCAGCACTCAATGTGATAGATGGCTGAGCATAGATCTCGACCCCACCATCAACCTTCGCGCTCATTGTAAGAGGTAAGGCGCTCAACTTTGGCTCCCAACCCGAGAACTCGCCATTCTTGGGATCCAGAGCGTTGATCTTGACGACGGCGGAGTTTGAGAGAGACGCTTTCGCGCCGAAATCGGCTCTGACCTCTCCTGTCCATTCGTTCATCTTGAAACCAACGTCGACGTCGAGAAATGCTCCGATTTTGGCGAATTTTCCGACCTTGATACCTTCGATTGGGATTGAGACGAGGTTTTTGTCCCAACTGTACTCTTTGGCAAGGGTTCCACTTGCGGTCAAGGCGAGTTGCATAGTGGCAACGACATCTTGAGGAGATACTTTCATGGTAGCTTTCGGAGCATGTAACAAGTGAACTTCGAGATCAAAGTCCACTAGCATTCTACCGACAATTCCACAGTCGACGCAATCGACGGAGAGATCAACCCCGCTGACTTTCGTCGCGAAGAGGTTCTTGTTGAAGTGACTCGCAAGACTCATGGTAAAGTCGGGATCATCTCTCTTTGCCAATGCCACAGTGCTGTTCATGATAGGCTTGTAGCCCATGTTGAAAGTGTAAGTCTTTGCGACCTCTTCCCATTCCTTTTGATCTGCTTCGAGGTACACTTTGTAGGTGTTGGGATCGAAATGAATATCGTTGATGAGATATGGCTGACGCTCCTGGTCATCTCCGCATCCATCGTAGTTGGCCACCATTCTGTAGAGTAAGGATTAGTGACCTGGTATATCAAGGAAAAGGAGAAAGTTATGAACTTACACAAAGGTATTGTTGACATCATCGCTAACCCAGTTCCAGGCTTGTTTGGCATACGTAAAGGTTGCATTATCTTTGAACTCCAGCATCATATTCTCGCTGCAGTCAACGGAGTTCAACATGCCGTCGAACTTCTCCATCCCAATGACAAACTCATACTCCTCGTTGAAAAAGACTGTAATAGACTGTTAGTGTCGAGATGAATCTGTCAGAAGTCTGAATAATTACCAGTCAAATTAGCATAAATAAGGCTATCGCCTCCATGGCCTCCCCAATAGAAACTCTCATAATCTTGAAGATCTAGATGATTATGATCAATATGATGAGTACCATTTCTGTTTCTCTTTGCCACTCCATGGTTATCAACAAAATGATCAGACGCCAAGGGCTTCAAAGTAAGAGCGAGAACTTGATGAAATGAAGAGAGAAAGAGACCCAATGAAAGAAAGTGTTGGCCGAGCATCGTGAAAAGTAAAGAATGTGTATTGGTATAAAAACCTAGGAATTCAAGTGAAAAAGACCGTCTACCTCCCGCGTGAAATAAAGGAATGAATAGGGAGAAAGATAGGAAAGCCTGTAAAGAATGAAGAATAGAACAGAAATGAAGGGAGATATATATTCACATTATTCTTATGAACCCATCGCAACATTGAAGATTAATCGGTCGTAAGAGCCAAAGGAACAATCCTTCAAATCAAAGAAATGGTACTCGAAAATCCTGGTACACGCGGCTGACTTGACAAGGCGTAACTTGAGACCGCCACGAGGTTCAGAATACATGAGCCTTGCAGTACCTGTCCTACCTGTCCGGAACATGACCAACATACAGCAAATTATGGACCCTATTTGCAGTAGTATGACAAGTAAGCACCATAAAACTGTAGTACAACCCGTCTTGGCACCATCCTGCTGCTCGTTTATGTGCCTTCCCCATAGGTTTGTGTTGCATTGTGGTAGGCTTTTAGGTGGCTGGTGAGTGGTGCACAACAACGACGAGGAAGATCATCATATCTACCTCCCTCATTGGTCAATCTGGCTCGTGGTCCATCTGCCTGTCGCAGGATCTGGGGACGAGGTCAATATTATCGTGCCAAGTAATGAAGGATCGAGTTGATACTTCAGCTGTGGGCGGGACAGCGTTGCGAACTACAGTACAGTCAGCCATGTTTTGAGCGGCTCAGCAGAATCACCTGCCGTCGCTTATCGAGCCCCTGAACGAATTCCGCCCAGGAGAGAGTACGAGAATCACGTGCGCCAAGCCTTTTCCAATGTCAGCAGAGCATCCTTACAATTCCATCTCCCTGCTAGGATTTGAGAATGTAATTTGAGGCTGATACAGAGTTATCCAGATACCCTTCCAGAATGATTGGAAGAGAAGGTACACATGTCTGATCCTTGGACCAGCAAGGTCTGTGACCTATGCGGTAGCATATTCTCATCCACAGAGAATCTCAAATGTCTGGTCTCCCAGAGCAGCGACCCAAATCGCTTGCTGATTCCACGTGAAATTAGACAATTCTCGCGATCTGGAGAGAATGGGTGTAAACTGTGCAAAAAGATTTGGCAGGCGATGCAGAAACTCGGAGCGGTTTCCCCGATGGCAAATTTCCATTTCAATCTAGCCTTCTGGGCCTTTGAGCCACGTTCGGCGAACGAAAGATACAGACATTTTTGGACGGGAATCGAGCAGATATCCAATTTTGCACAGGCTGGTGGAAGAAGTCTCGAAATTGGACATTTCGAAGTGTATGCCTCATCAGGTATGAACATAATCCCACGAACAGGATATCTACATACTAATTATACTTCATGACTTAGACGATCCTGCCTCGACTTTCATTGATGCAATACCACCGGACTTTGAAGTTGGTTCAACACAAAGTTCTCGTGCAGCAAATGAATGGCTTCAAGATTGTGTTGCGAATCATGAAAAGTGTCCAAGTTCGGCAAGTAGTCCTTTGCCAACACGAGTACTGGACGTCTGTCCCAATTACGGGTTAGAAAAGCTTCGCCTCTATGCAAGTAATGGAGCTAAGGATCAATATGCAGCCTTGAGCTATTGCTGGGGTGGACCACAACCAATAGTGACAACCCTCGCATCCTTAGAATCTCATCAGAAGTCTCTCGTCTTCGAAGAATTACCCAGGACAATACGAGATGCGATCATTGTAACAAGAGAATTGGGCATACGCTACCTCTGGATCGACGCCCTTTGTATAATTCAAGATTCGCTAGAGGATAAAGGACGAGAGCTAGATAAGATGGGGGGGATCTATAAAAATGCTTTTCTCACAATATCGGCTTCTAGCGCAGCCAGTTGCAAGGATGGATTCCTCCAAACCAGGATCCCAGACCACCCTCCTGAGCGCTTCCTCTTGCCTTTCAGATGCCCGGATGAGACAATGGGGTCTGTCATCATTCAAAGTGAGGTTGATGAAGGAATCCGCACGCTCCCTGCAATAGACAAGCGAGGCTGGACGTTCCAAGAACGCTCACTCTCTCCACGACTTTTGATATATGGTGAACAAGGCTTATCCTTCGAATGCCAAACTGAGGAGAAAACGAACGGAGGTCGTGCCGTTAAGTGGAAGCCCTGGGACGATTGGAGGGCTAACAATCCTATATTTACGAAACCAGATACATCAAACGAAGGCGAAATCGAAAAGCTTCAACGGGCTTGGTGTTTCATGGTTGAGAATTATGCATCGCGCTCCCTCACCTTTCCAGAAGACAAACTCACCGCAATATCAGGTGTAGCTGGAGAATTCAAGAGATTCTTTAGGGGCGATGAATATATGGCGGGGCTATGGAAAGGTTGGATATTGGAAGGCTTGGGGTGGTTTGTGAACACACTCGGAGATGGAAGGATCTATCCTCGACCAAAAGAATATCGCGCACCTTCATGGTCCTGGGCAAGTGTTGATGGGAATGTTATCTATGCCTTTAAATACGACATGGGACCCTCTAGTTTCGCAGAAGGTCTCAAGTTTGTAAGCTGCAAGGTTGAGCCCGCGCCGTTAAACAGAGTGAGTGGTGGAGAATTGGTGCTGGAGGGAAGACTTCGGCCTGCACTTTGGGATGTTAAAAGTCTTAATTTGACGAAAATAGATGGCGAGAGCGCTGATTGTTATACTCCTTTGGATGCGATTGAGAATGTGACTTGCGATAAACCGTTGGATGTTTGGTGCCTACAGGTTAGAAGGAATCAGGGGATGATACTGCGGAAGATTGAAGAGGGTGTGTATCAACGGAAAGGGTGGTTCAGGACTAAAAATGATGGTAGTTGGTTTGAACACTGTGAGACGGTAATTCTGAAGATATTATGAGGAAGGTCAGGTTAGTATTATAACACTACGCGAGGAGGAATCTTTCGAGAAATATGGCGATCCTTAGTACCTAAACCTTAATGAAAATCTCGCTAATTTTACTTATAATTAAACACATAGAATAACTTAGTAATATCTATAGTCAGACGTTCCACTTCTTAAATAACCGTGGCTAGCCAAAATAACCTAAACACCCTTGTCTGAATCACGTATCCATCTGAATTAAGCGAACCTAGAAGCACGATTATAGTAAAGTTATTTATTTATTTATTTATTTCTATTTAACGTCAAGCGGATTCTAGCTCGCGTGGGCTAGGTCCTAAAGAGTCCCAAAATAGGGCAAATGACGCTAGGGGGGTGCCCTAGGCTACAGGGGGTGTAAAAGGAAAGAGCTAATATACAAGAGACAGTTTAGAGAGAAGCTCCACTTTCGGAACAGCTCTTATCCTTAATTAGTTCCAGAGCCAGGGTGACAACAAAGGAGATATTTAATAAAAGGAAAAAAGAAAAGAGAAATAAAAGAAGGCCTGTCTATCTAGAGAGACAGATTTTAGTGTAGAATCCGGTCTTAAAGTAGACCTGGCTAAATAGCTCCTCGCAGTGAGATCCAATGAGCAGTTGAGGGTTCTTCTCAGCCTTTGCTAATAGCTTAGGGGCTTTGTTGTTTGCTAGCTTGCAAAAGAGTAGGTGGA